AAAGTTGCAAATTCAATTCTGCCATGTATAATTCAAAATTCATAAAATTCAATTCTCTCAATTCATTATCTGATGAGTGAGGTATTTTTTAATGACACTATAGGCAAACGAAAATTTGTTTTTCTCAGAGCGCTTATAGATTAACACCTCTGTTCGCAGCTATGATAGCGTTATCAATATATTATCACGAATCTTACACGGATAATTTAGGGAGTATTGTGAAATTCATTGGTGACTACGCAAAAAGTAAGCTACCGTATATGGTGATGTTTCCTTTTATCTTGAAGTTACATGATTTTCTGAATTATCCTCATATATAAGAGTCAGTAATGAAATACCGATGTGTCCATTTTTGTGAGAGACAAATTTTATATAAATTGCTCCATCACGCACGAAAAAATCTAATCCTCGATTACTCACTCAATGAGTGAGTGTTTCTCCATGCTTAAAAATTCTAAAAAAATCGAGTTCCCTTTTATTAAGCGTTGGCGTTGTCCGTTTTCTTCTTGGGAAATTTTTTTAGCTAAAAAAAGAAAAGAAACGTCGAACGGACAGAAAAGCGGCGCCGCGCCGCCCGATGCGAGTGAGTCCCTGTCGACCCCTTGAGCGACAGTGTTGCTACATTCACTGCCACACTTAGAATGCGCGCATTGTAGTAAGCGCCAAGGTGGCAACAGCGCGTTCGGTTTAACCCAGGGGTGCTGCGCTAACCGTGCGACGGATGAAGTCTGGCGGTTGAGGGCTAGTGATCCAGGGTTAATAGAAAAACTTAGCGAAGAAGGCTAGAAAATTCCATTGGATTTTCTATGAATATTAAAAAATATTGCATAGAAATAGTCAATAAAATTTGATTCTTTTATAGAACTTATTCTATTAAGATATTTTCTACAGAATTTCCTTGACTCAAATTTTCCAAGTTTTCATCACTCTTTTTTTTTTTTTTAATTAATGATGCTGGAAACCTTTCTCAGGTTTATTCAGCCAAAAAGAACAATCATATCAAATCACATTTTTGTATACAAATCATCATTTGTTTAAATTCTGAAATTATTTTTCAATGCAAATTCATGTATCACTGTAAGAGCTTTAACATTCGGTTCTAAAAGAAATGGTCTCATAATGTATGGAGAATAGCACCTTATTGCACGTAGTTTTTCAATCATGTTGTCTGTTCATTTCATATTTTGGACACTGCCAGAAAACGTGGTCCAGATCCTGCTCGGGATATCCACAGTCGCACGAGGTCTGTCGTACATAGCCTATCCTCGATAGGGAGCTCAGCAGATTGAAGTGATTACTCCGACAGCGGTTAACAAAAACAATGAGTTGACGCTTGAGTTTCCGACGAAAGTACCACGGGTGTTTTTTGTCCTTGTAGAAATATTCAAAGTAATCCACTCCTTTCTCGCTACCTTGTTCTAAAACTAGGTTTTGGTATTTTGTTTAGCTTCACCTTTGAAGGTCTCTATGAGGTCTGTGAATGGGATGGGGTGTTCGCTGGCTGCAGACGATTGCGTAGCTTCTTTTGCTTCCCTATCAGCCTCTTCGTTCTCCAGAATCCCGACACGCGCAGGGATCCAGAAGAATCTGATGAGTCGTTCACCACCTTTCCAGGATTTTGTTGTATTTTTTCTTCAGTTCCAGGACGTATTTAATAGTTCTGATACTCAGTTTTGGATTTTGCAGACTTTTTAGAGCGCTAAGTAAATCTGAGAATATGAGAACGTCATCAAACGGTTTTGATCCTGCCAGGTCGAGGGCCATACTCAATGCAATGCACTCTGCAGTATACACTGAAGCATGGGCCTCGAGGCTCACCTTCTTTTTGTATCCGAGTTGAGGACAGACACTTGCGGCTCCTACAAATGGTTCCGTGTCCATTTTACTTCCGTCAGTGTAGATTTTGATTGCATTGTATCCATATTTCTCCATTTCTTCATTGAAGACTTCAATAACGTTATTCTTTTGCGCCCTGATCTTGATACCCAATTCCATATCAAAAGAGATAGATGTAGAAACGTCGGAGAAACTGTGTTGGTATAAGTTGTATGACGTATTGGGAGATAGATCTCTGAGATTAATGGTTTCTTCTATGCATCGTTTTAGCAATGGCAATCTTTTCGTTTGAGAGGTGTTTCTGTGGTGAAAGTGCGAAATCCTTTTGTTTATCAGAAGGCTCTCATTGGCTAGGATTTTGACAAGGTAACTTTTTCCGATTAGTAGGAATCTCTCCTTTACTGTTGTTGTACATGAGGGTCTCCGGGTCAGCTCCCCACCCCGTACCTTTCAGAAATTTTATCATGTTCATTGCTCGGAGACATTTTTGACTAACTTTATTGCACTGTATCTTGAAGTTGAGTTTGCTGTCGAAGGTAATTCCTAGGAATCTTGCTGATTGGGCTTCATCACTCTTTTTCTTTTCTTCTCATAAAAAAAAATCATACAAAAAGCTTGGAGAATTCGAGCCGAGGAAATTCTATAGAAAAATCAAATTCTATCATCTTTTGCTATAGAATATTTGCTATTGAACATTTCAATAAAAACGGCCAAAAACTAATAGAAAGTTCAATAGGAATCCAATAGAATTTTCTATCGAATTCGCTAGGTTTTTGTATTGAATTTTTTCCTGCGTGATTTCGGGAATTCTTAGCCAGATTAATCTATAATTTCAAATGAAAGTATCACTCAGCAATACCAACTAGTAGTCAAATTTACCGATTCTTACTTGAACCCTCACGGATGGGGCCCTCATGTTACCCAGCGAAGTGTATGCTTACCTAATAAAACTCGAATTCGATTATTTCTAATGAATGGAAAATTATGAAACCGGTATCTAATTGAAGCTACAATATTCCGGTTTCCAATTTTGTCTGATCAAGTTATCAAGAAATCAAGATCAAGTCAAGAGTAGAGTGGAGAGTCAAGTGGAGATTTGGGTTGAATTCTCCATAGATTTGGAAATAATCAATTTTGAAAATAAGCGTTCACATTCGCATGAGTCGATACCATGCATCGACCCCGTACGTGAGAGATCAAACCTACATGGATTAGGGGCTTAAGAATATAAGGACGAGAAGCTGGAGGTTCCTACTTCACTACGCGCAACGGGCACCTTTTGCAAGAGAGATACTATGAATATTCAAGTGTGAACGTTATAGCTATCTCCATTTTCCGAAACTACTTTTCCTTTGGAGCTGTCGGCGGAGAGGGCGATATTCCCCTCGCTCGGTGACGCCTGCAAAGTCAGAGATGGGGAGAGTTAGGGAGAGACGACTTTGGGGCAAAAAATTGAAAAACATTTTTTAAACCTTGTATGAACAAGATGTAGATATTCTGTAAATATCGAGACAAATATTCAGAAAAATCTTTGAATCTATTAAATGGTTCTCGAAACATTCGAAGCTTTTCCGCTGTGTATATGGCCTTCTACAATCTTGAGAATTTATTTGACTGTCAACAGTTCTATTCGCATAAATTGACTTTAAATATTACTAGCCACATGAAGCCGAGCGAAGCACGCGTCTCGTCGATCGGCTAGTTGAAAATTTATGTAGCATAATTGATATGATGATCAATATGATCATTGATATAATGATTGATATGATGATGATTATTATTTTTTTTATTCATTCCTAAATGAATGAATGATATCACATTGAAGGAAATATTATTTATGATAAGTCAAAGTCAATAAAGAAAAAGTTGAAGTTTCTCGAGTTTTCCAAAAAACATGAGAAGTTTTTTGAATTCCCTTGAAAACTCAAGAACTTTCTTGGACTCTTTCAAAAATTTGAGAATTTTCTCGAATTTTCTTGAATTTTCTAGAAAACTTGAAAAGTTCCTCGAATTGCTCGATTTTTCTGCAACATGTGAAGTTTTTCGAATTTTGGAGAAAACTTGAGAAATTTCTCGAATTTTCCAGAACATTTCAGAAAACCTGGGCACTTTCGACGAAACGGCGAAAACTTCGAGGAAATATCTCATAATAATAGAAATGAGAATAATTTGTCTAATAATTATCGTAGAGCATTCTCGAGTTCTCCCGAAAGTTCTAGAAATTTCCACTATCATTGGCTAAACAGATGTTTTTAGTTTCGAAGAGTTTCCCTCATTTTCTAGAAAATTCGAGACACCTCCAGAAAGTTGTGGAAATTTCTAGAACTTTCTGCGTTTCACCCTCTCAGGGGTGGATTTTCGAGAAACACGGAATACGTGTTTTTTTATTTTGAAAGGAGAATCTACACGTGCATTTTCAACTCTCTAACTTGAGCGGTTCTCGAAATTGCATCACAAATTTTGCCCCCTTTTCACCCCCTTAGAGGGTGAATTTCCAAAAACCCTCCCTTAGTGGGAGCTTACGTCACTAAGGGTAGCTGCTGGGTCGTAGGTCTTGTAGTTTGGGCTGTGCGTTGATACATCAGTCGCCTCGAAAATGACTTTTCCTTTATATATAAGATTTTGAAAAAGCAGCGGATGCATTTCTACTTCTAATAATTCGAGGATTTCTATTTGAAAGGTAGTTAAGACATTCCAATCAATTTTCGGTTGAAGCTGGCTATCACAAAAGATAACAAATATCATGCAGGTGAGCGAAATCGGTAAGTAATGTTTCAGAGATATACTTCAGATAAATGCACACGTGTCGGGAGCACGACATAGAATTTTTTCTCGAATGTATCGCGAACAGATAAGCGTCGCGATGATGTTTGCTTCATAGTTCTCCGGTTAGATGCATACGGAATAATCCTTCAAGTGACTGTCCAAATACTGACTTTGAAAAGCAAGCATGATGATACAATATTTCGATTATCACATGAAATCGTACACAAGAATGTAATAATCATGAAGCCACTTATTTGTTATGGAGAACAACATCTAGATTGGGTCGCTCATATTGTGGGAGACGTCTCGTATTAGATTATCAGGAATCGATTTAATCGGTGATACTACTCATATAAAATCAATTGCTTTGAGTGGATCAGGTATCATTCCCGCTGAACATGAGCGTGCTAACGTTAATCCAACGATCAACGCTGATTCTTATTCTGCTAATAATCCATGCATCCTCAGTTATTAGTTCATTCCGAGATGACAATGCAGAAATTAATGTTCAATCGCATTTGGTTCATCAGTTGAATAGTTTTCGTGTCAATCAGAGCTTATTAGTAAGTGATGTGATTCGTAAATTACAGCCAGAAAGTGTTATTGCATTACAAGCAAAGAGAGATTCCGATCAATCGAATCCACGTGCCGTCTATAATGACACGGAGTGTGACATCCATTTTACAGCATTTGTTAGTGCTCTATCAAAATCAGAGCTATGGGCACTGCAAAGTAAGGAAATTTCATTTAATCCATCGTTGACACACATTCTTAATGCACATTGTTTCCTTTAGTGCTTGATTCGTCATCGAAAATTCCTTCGGGAATTCTCATAGGAAACTCGAAGGACCTGGGGGTTTACGATGAGTGTGTCTCAGTTAATGTTCAAAAGGAAATTGGATTGATTCGGGGACGTCACTGCATGTATTCGATATCTTTTACGGTCTCAAACTCAACGACGCCGCTCTCCACAACATTGTCTATCTGCTTACCTTCAACATGTAATGCTCAGCATGTTAATGACATCCTGCAAACTGCGATTGATATGGTATCGGATCGTCTTCCCTTCGACTTAGGGATTGGTAATGTCCAGTGTTCAGCAGTAGATCCTCCACCATTTGAAGTGGGAGAAATTATCACAATGTATGAGACTTGAAGATCCCCAGGAATGAAAATTATATTGGACTCAAAACATGTTGAAAATTGATGACTATTAATTTCAGAGTGATCTTGTCGATTATCCTCTGCTTTTTCATTGGTTGCACCGTTTGTGATATCATCATCAGGATTACTTCGCGAAAAAAATCCGGAGGGATCGTGAAAGAAATATGCAATTTTTCATTTTACACCAACGTAAAGCGAATATTTGACACAACTGTACCACGAGGTAACATCCCAGCTATCCAAGGAATAAGATTCTTCAGTCTGTGTTGGGTCGTGCTTGGCCATGAGCATCTTTATCCGAATACAACAACAGCAATCAATATGAAAAATGCAATTTCGGTATTCAAGATTCGATTTTTGTAATATTTTCAACGATTACTTGTTTCTTTCATTTTGTCCCAATTATTTTTCTAGTGGGTAGGATCCTGGGATGCTATACACATTCTCATTGCTCCTTTTGCAGTGGACACTTTTTTTGTTTTGAGCGGCTTTTTATCATCATATCTCTTCATCAAGGAAATTGCGAAGGGACGTCGATTTAATCCTGTTATGTATTACATACATCGTTATATCAGGTAAACAGTCTACCATCTCTAACGACTTGTCTACACTGAGAAACAAAATTTCTAATATCTGAAACATATTTTCTTGAGAGAAGTAAATTATTTTCAATGGCTTAAATCTCAGAATGTGTGCACTTCATGGAACTCAAATAAATTTTCATTCATCACTATCGTTCCGCGTTACGTCATGAATATTTTATATATTGCAATATTGGAAGTGCATAACGAAAAAATCATGAAAACAATAAAGACTAGAAGATTGACGATTCTTCCACGCGATTCAAGTAAGTTCATTTCCGATAAAATCATACTTGAGTACAAGAATATTTTAAAGCATGAGGCCTTTCTCAGGTCATGTGAGTTGAGATGCCTGAGAGAATTAAGCAATTGAAGAAAATGTACTTGTCTCAAGAAAATATTTTTCAGATATTAGAAAATTATTTTCTCAGTGTAACATCTCAATCGTTCACGTACACTAGGAAAAAAATGTATGCGTGTTTACTGGTATCAAGAATCTTATGGCTCAAAATGTGACAAAAAGAAAATATCTCACACTGAGAAAAGAAACCTTTCGTCTAGAGATTTGGTACTAGTCCGAATGATGAGGGGCAATTTGTTCACAACAAGAAAGCGACTTCTCGAACCAAGTCAAGTGGGTTTTGCATTGAAATTAGTGATGCCGGGAGACGCGAGAGAAGCGAGACGAGACGAGACAAACGAGACGTGAGACATGAGGAGACGAGACGTGTCATTCGAGACAATGACAGATACCAGACTAGACGAGAAAAGCAGGTCGAGAACGAGAGAAACGAGAGGCGAGACGAGAGTCGCGAGTGCTTCCCCCTCGCTGCCCCTCTGTGTATTTTTTTCCAAATTTGATTATAAGAGACGAGATAAGGCGAGATGAGAGAATGGTTTCCTGACAACGAGACGAGACGAGAAACTGCATCTTCTCGTCCCGTCTCATCTTGCGGCATCACTGATTAAAAGGGGTTGCGTTTGCGTCTCGAAAACTATTGAATAAATTGATTCAACTGCACTTGCTGGAAACAAATTATCCTCGTCTTTGGGACAAGTACGAAATCTCTTGACGAAAGTGTTTTCTTTCTCAGTGTAAGATATTTTCTTCTTATCAATTTTCGAATCGTGCTTTTCATGATATAAGTGAAGACGTACTTATCAAAAAACTTTGTCTCTATATGGTCATGCAGCCAGCGCGAGACGGCAATAACGTATTGAGGGTTGATAGACCGGGTGAAGGATTAAGAATTATTTTGTGGCAACTCTGCTTATAGATTGACACCGGCGTTTGCTGCAATGATAGCTTTATCGATATTTCTACTTCCCCGGATGGGTTCAGGAGCATTATGGGATTCGACGATGATGATGAACAAAGAGATGTGTAGCAACAGTTGGTGGCCAATGATACTCTACGTTCATAATCACGTTGGAAAAAACTCTACGGTGAGATAGGGAAACATTAGATTCAAATCGGCCAATCATTCAATAATCGATGTCGATAGTCATGCGAGTTGAATGCAAGTTCAGTGTACTGACGGTTCTGAGTTCGACCTCAACTGGAGTCGGATTTTCCGTACCCTGAGCTTTGATGAGTGAGACGTTACTATACTGATAGAAAGGATTAGTTATTGTTAACGAATGGATTTGGTTGAAGACGACGGTCTATTTGGTCTCACCAAATGTTCATTCGTTAATATTATGTGTACAAATTAATAAGGTGCCCCTATATTTCGCGGTTTATAATTGAGTTCAAAAACTTAATATTTCATTAATATTTTGTATGTTGGTAGTATTGAGTTACCGAAGCAGTAAATACTTCTTACATAACCTTAAAAAATAGTAGTAAACACGATGTCTGTCGATAGGCAACATTTGAGGCACTGCATTCTTTTTGCATTTCAATTAAAGAAAAATGCTGCCGAGGCTATTCAAACGATTTGTAGTGCTTTTGGAAAAAACGCTGTAACACAAAACGTGTAAAAAGTGGTACCAGAGGTTTAGAGGCGGAGATTTCGATCTTTCGGCTCGAGAACAGCTGGGTCAACCGCAAAAATTTGGCGATGAAGAACTCGAACAACTCTTGGCTGAAAATTCTGCTCAAAGCCAAACAGAGCTTGCACTACAACTCGGAGTGACTCAACAATGCATTTCTCATCGCCTACATCAACTTGGCAAAATTCAAAAGGAGGGTAGATGGGTTCCTCATGATCTGAGCCCCGAAAATAAGGAACGATGACTGGAGACGGCGCTATCTCTGTTCACTCGATTTAAAAGAAAAGATTTCTTATACAAAATCATTACGGGCGATAAAAAATGGGTGTTATACGACAATCCTAAACGCCCAAAATCGTGGGTGAATCCCGGCGAACCATCGACGTCGACTTCGAAACCCAATGTCTATGCGAGAAAAGTGATGCTGAGTATCTGGTGGGATATGAAGGGTGTGATATATTATGAGCTACTTAAACCTGGCCAAATTGTTACTGCGAAGGTTTATCAACAACAGCTTATTCATTTGAATGATGCATTGGAGCAAAAGAGGCCATATACTGGCAGCGGAAGTAGACAAGTGATTCTCCAGCATGACAACGCTCGACCGCATGTCGCCAAAGCGACTAAGGATATTATCTGTGAATTAGGATGGGAGGTTCTCCCTCACGCGGCTTACTCGCCTGATTTCGCCCCATCCGACTACCACCTATTTAGGTCTCTTCAACACCAACTCGCTGATGAGCACTTGAAAACAATCGACGAGGTCCGAAAAAGCATCGATGAATTTATTGAGTCAAAACCGCCAAGTTTCTTTCGCGAAGGAATTCGTCAGTTGCCAGTGAGGTGGAGTAAAGTTATCGAAAATAATGGGGAATATTTCGACCATTAAATCCCTTTTTGTTTTGTTATAATAAACTCTGATTTTCATGAAAAAAAGCATTTTATTAATTTGTACACCTAATAGTTAAAAAATTCACATTTGCAGGGCCTTGTTTGACTCGATTTTTACCTTTCAAGTGAACGATTCGTTAATTATTAACGAATATTCATTTGTGATATTCAATTCCGCCATTCGATAATAGGTAACGAATCTCGTTTGAAATAAATGAATCAGTCTATCAGTGTATGCGAGTAACTGCTTGTAACGACATGGTTTTCTCTATGGTTTCAACTGCGGGTTGTACATTGTAGTACAGTATGTAATCCACCATTTTATGCATAGCGAAAGGTAGAGGGCTGACTCAGATTCGGAAAACTGACTATTCGACTAGAAAACTACGAAAATTGATGAATAGAGGAATAATTTAAAGGAAAATTTAAAAAATTGAAAAATGCACTTACTTAGGCATGTTTGGGGCATACCTGGTATCTGGCAGTGGACATGCAGCTATTCTGGATATCTCCTCTGATCCTCTATCCGTTAGCTAAAACACCTAAAATTGGTCTTGGCATATTAGCTGCATTTATCATCGCTTCAGTAATCATACCAGCTATTATCATAGGAAAGAATAAATACTCCGCGGCGTTGATCTCAAGTGGAATGAAGTAAGTCCAAATTATCGTAATCAGTCAAGCATTTGTAAAATAATCAGTACAGTGGAGTCTCCTTTATTCTCCCATTCCATAATTCGCACTCTACTCCCTTAGAGGTCTGCTTCTCCTCAAAATCTTCCCCCCACTTTTCATTTATCCTTTATCCTCCTCTTAGTCCATGCGCAACACCCCCTTTCTGTATGGAATGGTATGTCGATGGACTTTTATGATGTTTTTCTATGTTTTTGGGGGTGAGGAATCCGAATCCATCGGTGTTTTTTACCTAAAGTTATGCGAACACTTTGTTATTAACAATTTTCAGTCCCATTTCGTGCAAAATCGTTTTTTTCGCGAAAACTATCATATTTACCGTGAAATAAGTCCTTGCCAAATTTATTGCTTAGGTTTTAACGAACAAATTGCTTTTTTATTTGTTCAAATCGGATGATTAGTAATGGAGTTATGCACATTTGTTTATGGGAATAGCGCGCGCCAACGTCCACGGGTCGCGCGCGCCACTATCCACCCAGAGTATTTTTTTTTCCTTACGGAGATAATGGCAATAATCGAAAAAACGTAATGATTATTTTAATTAATTGTTTTTAACCTAGACGAATGTTATTCAGTTACCTTTAAATCCCACTGTCAGTTGCGGAGATATTTTCGAAGTGTTAAAAAAATAAGACGCGCGTTGTTTTGAGCAGCATACGTCCACTGTGCCGAATTCAAGGAATCGACACCTGCCCACGATGTAAACAATACACCAGGATAGTTCTTAGTAAAACAAAAATAACCGTGGACAAAATAATCGTGAATAAAATAGTCAAAAGCGTTAGTACCATCGGGACTTTTGTCGAGTGCGGGTCGCAATAGAGCCCCTGGATTTTGCAGCGATATGTGAATATAATTTTCTATATGAATGCGTGAAATTATATTGAATTATTTGAAGAAACTCATGTATTTTTAATGTGCAGACTCTCTCCCTACACCACTAATTTTTTTTTCCACATAATTTTATAAGGATACTGTACTCAAACAGATGAAGCTATTGATATAGGTATGAATATGAATGCAAGCACGTTCGTGGTGACATTGTCGATACTGGCGATGGAATTGAGGTAAATAAATAATGTACTTCCAGGCTAAAAACAATTAATACACCTAATCATTACGTTTCTTCTATTATTGCCATTATCTCCGTAAGGAAAAAAAAATACTCTGGGTGGATAGTGGCGCGCGCGACCCTCGGACGACGTTGGCATGCGCTATTCCCATAAACAAATGTGCATAACTCCATTACTAATTATCCGATTTAAACAAATAAAAAAGCAATTTGTTCGTTAAAATCTAAGGAATAAATTTGGTATAGACTTATTTCGCGGTAAATATGATAGTTTTCGCGAAAAAAATAATTTTGCACGAGATGGGACTGAAAATGGTTAATAACAAAGTGGTCGCATAACTTTAGGTAAAAAACACCGATGGATTCGGATTCCTCACCCCCAAAAACATAGAAAAACATCATAAAAGTTCATCGACATACCATTGCATACAGAAAGGGGGTATTGCGCATGGACTATCTGTGACGTCATGCGCTGCGGAGTGCGTAGTGGGTCACAGAAGATTATGTTCCTCCCCTCTCACTGCCATGATCCTCCCCACTATTCTCAGCTTTCCCGTCTCTAACGTCGTCTGAACTGGCGAAGTGGGGGTCACTTCTTTACTCGCATTTCACATGAAAGGGCTTCAAGGACATCCCCCGAGCTGTGGGAATTAAGGATAGTCCACTGTAGTAAAGGAGTAAAAAGTGATAAGGAGGGACGGTATCATAGCTGCAGAACCTCCAAAACTAAGAAGTTATTTTTTACAAAGAAAAAGATTATTTTTACCGGTATATTGATATTCTGTATTACCCCCGGGCTAGTTCTGAAATTTTGACTGAAGATATGGTATCATACTCTACCTGAGTAAATTCCTGGATAGAATCCGTGTGCCTCCGAATTTTTTAATTTGCGGATTAATAATTATTTAATGGTTTCCCTCATATAGAGGTCCAGAAAATCGATGGATAGTATATAGCCCCCCCCCCCCCATTTCATGTAATTTATGCCGAAAAACATCTAAAGTTGACCGAGTATAGATATCCCGAGGATAACACGGAATATGATATTTTGTTCGTTTCCTTTTTCAGAATGACAAACCTAATGGATACGTTTGGAAGCTTCTACATCACCGCCTACGCTAGAGCGGGTCCATGGCTTCTAGGAATCTATCTAGGTTATAGACTCAGTGGAAAGAGAGATCATCCCGGTACAAATTTCATTGCACTAGGATGGATTCTTTCTGCACTAGCATTTGCCTTCTCATTTTTCTCATACAGAATTTTCCAAAATGTCGATTATGAGTGGAATGCCCCTTGGGAGATTTTCTACGCAGGGTTCGGGAGGCACATTTGGGCTTTCGGAATATGTTGGTTAATTTACGCGTCAGTAAAGGGTTACGGTGGCCCTATTGCGGACTTTCTATCTCTACCAATATTCATACCATTTGGTAGGATGTCTTATTGCATTTACCTAGTACACATGGTTATTCAGCTGATGAGGGTTGCTGCGGCGAGAGTTCCCTCGTATTTTACTGAACTGGGAATAATCTATTCATTTTTTGGTGAATTCATTGTATCTATTATAGCGGGACTTGCTCTCAGTCTCGTTTTTGAATCACCATTTTTGGTTCTCGAAAAAATGATTTTTGGCGGGAATAGGCGAGTTAAGAAACAAGAATCACCGAAAAACGTTGAAGACACAGAGGCATCGCTTGGCATTGATAATAAGGCTTACAATTCTAATGAGTCCGTAACTTACATTGAGAAAGAAAGGGATGAACATGGTCAGCCCCAAATATCTTCAAAACTCTAATGATACACTGACAAAAACAAAGGTTTTTGAGAAATACGTCTTTACTTATATCAAAAAACTTCTGCCTTGAAAATTTCCAAAAGTAAAATATCTTGCACTAAGAAAATAAAAACTTTCATCAAGTACTTTTGTACTTGTCCTGAAGATGAGGACAATTTCTTGATGACAATAAAGAGATTTCTCAAACCAAGTAAAATTGAATTAATTCATCTAATAGTTTTTTAGTCGCAGTTATAAAATACTTTAATGCAAAAACCACTTTAATTGATTTGAGAACTTGTTTTCTTGATATGAAGAAATTGTTCTCATCTTTCGAACAAGTATAAAATTTCTTCACGTAAGATTTTTTTTCTGAGTGTGAGATACTGTACGCTGGGTAATTTTCAAGCCACGAATTTCTTGATATAAGTAAAGAAGTTGTGACGATCTTCAAACAACTTAATTTTTAACTATTTTAATCGTCAACAATTTTCATCACAACTTATTTCTTAAAGTTAAGGCTATCCTACGTGGAACTTAGCCTAGGTGCCAGCCTATTTTTAATCTTTTTTAATTAGCCAAATAGGTGAATACCAATTTCATCCAACAATAATAATTTTTATCAATCAAATGAACCACTAACCCGGCCTCTTTATGAACAAAGGGGAGGGAGATCGATAGCCCCTATGGATTTTCGGAATTCCAACAAATCAACATAACACAATGAATTTTATGCCCCAAAGAAATTAATATATTATAAAAAATTACAAAAATGAACATAAAGGATTTGGAACAGAAAATTGAAAATTATCTACAGAAATAATAAAATATAATACAATGGACCACTGGTCCCTCTCAGTGCGAAAAACTGAACAATATTTAATTGCGTGGGGGGAAAAACCCTCTTTTCCCTACTCTCTCAACAAACAAAGATGAATTGCGATCTATTTTTGAACCACAGTATCCAAAATCTCAATTTGCACAAATTTTAACTCAATTCAAAATTCAAAATTCTCAATTCCAACTCAGCGAATTATTCTTGAACAAACTGCGTTTCAATATTTTAAGGGTGCTTCTCAATAGTCTTAAAATTAAATACCAATAAATTTCGCCGCGAATTCTGAACAAAAATTAACCTGAATATTACTCTAAATGTTTTCAAAGGTTCGGAAATCAGTTCCAACCTCAAACTAAAATAATTTGCTTTACGTGACTTATCTCGATTCTCGTCCAGACCAGGGCCTCGGAATCCACGCCAGCTGCTCCAAACTTTCCAAAAATTGACTTCAGTCCCCAATAGCAACTCAACTCAATAATTATAACTGCTATGCAGTTTTCTCTACTCGACAATTGTAACTGCTACGCAGTTTTCTCTACTCAACTCAACTGAGCTCTACCCTGAGGTTAGTCTCGGGGTGAACTGAATCGACGCGGTCCGTTCGCCAAATTCATGCCCATTGGGAGGATTATCCCCCCTCCGAGGCCCTCTATCTACTCAAATTCTCAACTAAACGGCCCTGGACTGGATCGAATCGTTACAATTCGTAATTCGATTAAAACCGAAATTATCAATATTTAAATGTATCTAAATTTCAAATATTGTGGGGTTCATCCCACGATGATTCAATTTCCTGAGGATGATTCCCGAGGTCTGTCCAGAGTTTTCTTGAGCTCGCAGTTCCCTGTCCCTTCCGGAAGTCGATGACACCCCGCCTCCCGGTAGCTTTTCTCCTCGGCTAGTAGGATAGGTCCGTCTCTAGGTATTGGATGAGTCTCCGACGTGGCCCCAAGAGATTTTTCTCAGGGCCGTCCTCTTCCTCATCGCCGGGCCCCTTCCCCAACGGTCTTCTCCTCAATCCAAATATTGAAATATAATTAATGATAATAATTTTTCGTAAGGTTGTCCCAATGGTTGTTTCCTTGATTCTTATTGAAGAGGGGGGAGTTTAAGCTCCCCCCGAGACACAGGTTCAAATAAATCAATTCCTCTACTCGAAATAAAACAAATGCAAATACTTGACAATTGAATTGTCACAAAGTACTTCTCAAGAAAGACTTGTTTTCGCAGTGTACTACAATTTTTTCGTTTCAAGCATATGCAATGGGTGGTAATATGAAATTGAAATGCGGCGAAGATTCTGCCGCATAGCCGAAAGTCATTTTATTGTTTAAGTTCTCATACTCTCATAGTGTAAGGAAAAATGCTTATTTGAGAAGCATTAGAAAAAAATACTCATAGGGATAGGTGTAAAACGTTGAGAGAACGCGTTGCTGATACCTGGTAACACTCAACATTATACAGCCTTGTGTTGAGGAATCACGATTTTTTTAACATACTTGCGACTTCTATCATTGTCCAATATTTTTCAAACTTCTGTTACTCGCACAATGAGTGTGGCCCCGCAAAATTCAATTCAACCAATGGCATGTCTTTTTTTTTTTTTAATATTCCGGCCCTTTCTGCCCTCTGATTGGCTAATCGGCCCTATCCAACCCTATGCATGCGGCTGTGGATTCTACACTGCACCGCATTCGCACTCCTATAGAACATAGGAGTAGCATGAGAAACCACAGAAAACCCATGCCGGTACAGGCGGTCACTATATTAGCGACCCCCCGCTCACCGGAGCCTCCGGTTGAAAAACTCGGTTCCACGGGGAATCGAACTCACAATCTTTCGCACACTAGGCTCGCACCTAGCCGCTTCGGCCACCGACGTCGGTAACCAATGGCATGTCACTGCGGCCCGACCGAGAGAGAGGGCGAGTAAAGAAGGTTCAATCAATTCTGCATGATTCATATTTTAATGTATATTGTACCGAATGAAAAAATAAAAGAAGAAAATGTTAATGTTTTAATTTGATTTGATTAACTTGCCCCAATAACCTTTGAAAAGTTGACAAATATAGAAGAATTTGTCTCATCATTCTTCCACATTCAAGTAGCTGTTTAAATTTGCTTTAATGTCTGAGAAGAACGGAGAATTTTGTAGTTTGAAATAAATCATTTTCAGTGAATCTATAGTTTTATATATGGGACATTCCATGTCAACTCAGCCACACCGGATTTTTTTTGTCTGGGAAAAATCATTAAGTAGGTGCATGTTGAACTACTCCATATAGCCAGTGATCATGCAAAATTTCATTGCCCTGCCACTTTCTGTTTCTGGGATAACATTACAAAACTTGAAATTTTCAAAAAATCATTACTTCTGAATGGAGCATCCGATTTTGATAAATAAAAAAAGAAAATTTTCGTTTTTTCACGTCCTTCAAGATAAAAAACACTTCAGAGTCGTCAAGAAGCTCCTAGACCGGTTTTTCGAGAATTTTTCGCGTTTTCATTTTTATTTCACTCGATTTTTGATCGAAATATTTTTTTTATGATAGAGGATGTCCTTATATGATATGACAAAAATACTCCATAATGGAAGAGCGAAGCAAAGCACCGGAAAATTTTTTTTTTTTCGAAATTTTTGGGTTTTTCAGTTTTTAGGGGAGATCCATCGGTTTTTTTCAAAGAAATCAGTCTGTCAACTATTATTATTTGTTCATATATGATGGCAAAAGAGTACGCCATCATGTAAGAGAGAAAGAATGCTCCGAAAAAAATTTTTCTTCGAAATTTTTACGTTTTGTCTGTCGTTTAGGAGTGTTGAATGTGGCGCCCTACGCTAGTCTCTTTATTACCGGCAGTGTGGCTGACTGTGTCGCCACGGCGCCATTGCGCTTCTATGAGATATACTCGTACTATGCACCACTTGTGCCTCGACCGTTGTCGTGTTACGTTGCTGAATAAAACTTAATTACATTTACGATAATAAAACTGTGTTTAATCGTTGTTTCAATCCTAAATAACCCTTCAGGTTATGGGCCCAGCACGCTTCCACTGCGCGTGATTAAAATTTATTATAAATTGAAGGACTGAAAGCAATAAATCGGAAATTCCAAAAAGGACGCTATCGGGCGGTCGGGCACGTGTCCGGGTGGATCACACGTGATACAAAGGGATATCCAGAAAGAGGAAAAATCGAGGCGAGCTGGGTGAGTGACTACTGACGGGAAGAAAAAATGGAAAGTACTCAGAGAAAATGTACGTACTGAAAAATGCATTAATTAAGTGAAGTGAATTGGTGAGAACGAAAAATAGAAGGGATCAAAATGGCGGCCGGAAATTAATTGTCTACGACGCCGACCTGAAATCGAGATTTTTAGATTGAAAAGAATTAATAAAGAAATCCCATTAAATTCACAAAAAATCACTGAAAAGCAACAGATATCTTTTGTCATAAATAAAATCATATTTAGAGAAAAACAAAAGACGAAAGCCAAGTGACGCCGTGACAATAGTTTCTCGGCAGTGAAGGCGAGCACAGGTTTCAACAGGCTTCAACAAGTAGACGCAACGGGTGGGTTATGCGCGCAACCGGGGCGCGTCTGAGAGAGAGGGACGACTGCAGTCCCATACACATTGCTCGAGCAAGGCGAGAACAATAAGAAATAGAAAAAAAACGAAAATTAGTGTGAATATAAAATTTGGTGTGACAAACAACGATTCTCTCTTTCTCGGCCACGTTCCGCGTGTGTGCGGGGTCCACCAGCGTAATGTAAAGCAATAAAATAAAATCAATAGACACTAGTGCAAAATTGAAATTTACAAATTAAGGATGCATTCAAATCAAAATATTTAATTGGTGAGAATATTGAATTTAGAAATATTTAATAGGCGAGAATAACAAATTAAATATTTGATGGGTCGAATCAATGAAATTGAATTTTAAAATTGCTCTCTTTAGACGAAGATATTTATAAATAAATAATTACAGCTGACAAAGAACTTCTGTATGAAGTGTGGAGACTCCTAATTAGACAACATCTAATCGAAGGAAACCATGAGGGGGAAGTAGTCTCCCTGGCAATAATAGACGATAAAGTACATGTACATCCAGACGAAGGAACTGGATATGTAACAGGCGAGACATCAGGCATGTGTAGATAGGCGAGCATACTATACACATCAGAAACGCGCAATATTAAGACGTCAAATTACTTGAGAAATATTTAAATCAATATTTCGCAATCATAAAAGACTCGAGTGTGTTTGGAGGAGGTCTTATGTTTAGATTTTCTGAAGAGCACATTCATTCTGAATTCGGGTTGTTTATGTTTAGCAAGTCGAGTTTGGGATTTCGGACCTGAATATAAAAAAATGTAACCAGATACAATAATCCTAAATTTTTCGTCTCTTTAAATTAGATAAGAGAGA